CCCCAGGAGCTGACGGGGACGCTGCCCCGCGAGTACCCCCTGAAAGCCGGCGAGAAGCCCCCCAAGGTCCGGCGCAGGATCGGTGCTGCCTTCAAGCTGGATGAGACCCTCGTCCTGCGCGGGGCGGTGAGGGGCTCCCCGGGGTGAGAGCGGGGTGGGGAGGGTCCCTGGGGCGGGCGGCGGAGACCCCTCTCCATCCCATCCCGGAGCTGCGGAAGATGCCCAGGCGTCACCCGGAGATGTCACCATCCCCATCCCATGGGAGAAATCCATATTCCCCCTCGTTAGGCAAAGCCTTCGTTAGCGTGCAAATGTGACGGGTGGTGGCGGGGTGCCGAGCGCGTGTCCCCTCCGTCCCCAGGACCCGCTGAGCGCCCTGGAGCGGGACCTGGCGCTGCAGCTGCAGATTGCCAAGGCCGCCCGGCGTCTCTGCCGGGAGGAGAACATCAGCAAGCGGCTCCGCAAGCGCCGGCAGACGGCGGCACTGCTGGAGGAGCAGAAGCTGAAGGACCTGGAGAACATCCTCAACCAACGACGGCTCCTGGCCGGCCGACGGCCTCTGCCTGCCGGCGGTGGAACCGGTGCTGCCGAGGGTGAGCCCCCCGTGCCCCTCGTGTGCCTCCCCGGCTGGCGGTGGCTCGTTTGGGGGATGCTGGAGGTCAGGGAGGCAGAAATGGGTGCAGCTTGCTTGGGTGCCCTTGGTGAATGCGCCCCGATAGGCCATCCATGGTGCACGCACCCCAGTCCTCCGTTCGCAGTGAATGCACCCCCCTGGATGCACCCCAGTGTGCCATCCCCGGTGAATGCACCCCGATTCCCCATACCCTGATGAATGCACCCCCCTGGATGCACCCCAATCCTCCATCCACAGTGGATGCACCCCAATTCCCTATCCCTGGTGAATGCACCCCCCTGGATGCACCCCAATCCTCCATCCACAGTGGATGCACCCCAATTCCCTATCCCTGGTGAATGCACCCCCCTGGATGCACCCCAATCCTCCATCCACAGTGGATGCACCCCAATTCCCTATCCCTGGTGAATGCACCCCCCTGGATGCACCCCAATCCTCCATCCACAGTGGATGCACCCCAATTCCCTATCCCTGGTGAATGCACCCCCCTGGATGCACCCCAATGTGCCATCCCCAGTGGATGCAGCCACCTGGATGCACCCCGATACGCCATCCCCCTGGATGCACCCCAATTCCCCATCCCCTGATGAATGCACCTCCCTGGATGCACCCCAGTCCTCCATTTGCAGTGAATGCACCCCCCTGGATGCACCCCAATGCGCCATCCCCAATGAATGCACCCCAATTCCCTATCCCTGGTGAATCCACCCCCCTGGGCGCACCCCGATACACCATCCCCAGTGCATGCACCCCAATTCCCCATCCCCAGTGCATGCACCCCCCTGGATGCCCCCCTGAAATGCCATCCCTGGTGCCTGCCCCCCGATCTGCTTTCCCCGGGAATGTACCCCAATCCTCCCCCCCCCCCAGCAAAAGCACCCCGATACGCTCTCCCCGATGGGTGCACCCTGGCGAACGCACCCCAATACTTCATCCCTGTTAAAAGCACCCTGCTGAATGCACCCTGACATGTGGTCCCCAGTGAACGCACCCCAATACTTCATCCCCGGTGACTGCACCCCGATACACCATCCCCGATGATTGCACCCCCGTGAATGCACCCCAATACTTCATCCCCGGTGATTGCACCCATGTGAAAGCACCCCAGTACTTCATCCCTGGTGACTGCACCCCGATACGCCATCCCCTGCTGTATGCACCCCCGTGAATGCACCCCAATACTTCACCCCTGCTGACTGCACCCCGTGGCTGCCCCCCGATCCGCCATCCCCAGCGAGCGCACCCCAGGATTTGGCCCGGCTGCCACGTCCCCATCCCGGTGGCAGCCGTCCAAGCGGGTCCCCATCGCCCCTGCACGTGCCTCGGCCTCGGCTCTGTCCCCGCCGCCCTCCCTGGGGCTTCCGCGTCCGTCACCCACCATGGCCTGGGGACACGGTGGCAGCGGCTCCTTCCCCCCTGGTGCCCCCCAAACCTGCCCAGCACCCCTCCTCCTGCCCGGCCTGGGCAGGCTGGGAGCTGCCCGCAGCGCCGGCACATGGCTCGGCAAAGCCGGCCCGGCCGGTAGCGCCACCGTCCTGGAGCGTGTCGGGGGGGGGAGCGGGGCCCTCCGGGGACGCGCGGGGTGGCGGCAGGTTCCGTGGGAGCTTTTTGGCTCCCGCCGGCAGCACCGGCACCGTTCTCACCCGTCCCCTGCCCCGCAGAGCTCAGCGCCTCTGACGAGAGCTCCCTGTCGGACGCCGTCCTGCTGGAAGAGGGTAAGGGGGCTGTGGGGATCGGGCTGGGGGACATTGGGGTGCCCCTGTCTGTCCCCTCCATCCCAACCCTCCGTCTCTCCCGCAGAGGAGACGCGGCCGCTGGGACCCACCACCCCGCGGGGGTCCCCGTCCCCGGAGGAGCCCGCCGAGGAGGAGGCGTCGGGGCCCCTGCCGGCCCCCCCAAGTCCCTGGCGGGAGACCAGCCTCGACAGACCCTACGAGAAGGCCAAAAAACCCGGCATCGACCCCAGGGATGAGGAAACCCAGGGCTCCCGGTGCTACCCCGGGTCCCCGCCGGCCACCTCCGCCGCTCCCTCAGCCCCCGGCAGCCCCGACCCCGCAGCCTCGCCGGCGCCCAGGACGGGGGACGTCCCTCCCTACCGCTTCGTCCCCATCAGGACCCTGGTGCTGTGCCGGCAGGCGGGCTCCAGCGCTCCCAGCACCCCGGAGCCATCGGGCCGGCGGGGACAGTCCCAGTCCCTGAGGTATGGCCTGTGTGTGGGGAGGGGGGACAAGGGCTTCTGCAAGGGAGGATGGAGATAACCCCATGGGGAGGAGGATGGAGATAATCCCATGGGGAGGACGTTGGAGATAACCCCATGGGGAGGACGTTGGAGATAACCCCATGGAGATAATGGAGCTAAAGCCATGGGGAGGAGGATGGAGATAGTCCCGTGGGGAGGAGCTAACCCTATGGAGAGGATGGAGACAACCCTATGGGGAGGATGGACATAAATCCCTGGGGAGGAGGATGGAGATAACCCCATGGAGATAATGGAGCTAAAGCCATGGGGAGGAGAATGGAGATAGTCCTGTGGGGAGGAGCTAACCCTATGGAGAGGACGGAGATAACCCCATGGGGAGGATGTTGGAGATAACACCAAGGAGAGGATGGAGCCAACCCTATGGGGAGGATGGATCTAAATCCCTGGGGAGGAGGATGGAGGTAACCCTATGGAGATAATGGAGCTAAAGCCATGGGGAGGAGGATGGAGGTAACCCCACGGGGAGGCTGGAGGTAACCCTACGGAGATGATGGAGATGATCCTTTGGGGAGGCTGGAGACAACCCCACGGGGAGGAGGCTGGAGCTGACCCCATGGGGAGGCGGCACCCACGGGGTGCTCAGCCCCAGCACCCCCCAGCCACCCTTTCCCCCTGCTCGCCCTGACTTTCGGGCAGGCGGCGAGGGGAAGGGTCCGTCTGCAGCCGCGGCCCCCCTGCCCGCAGGGTGGAGGCGTGCTGGCAGCCCGGCGAGCGGCGGGGCCGCAGTGCCGTACCCCGCCGGCGTCCTACCTACTACACGGTGACGGTGCCCACCTCCTGCATCCCGACCCCCGTCCCCGTGCGCCGCTCCGGCTCCGACGACAGCATCTCCGACCTCTCCAGCATCTCCCACGCCACCTCCCCGGGCAGCAGCAGCCCCGATGTCTCCTTCCCGCGCCCCCCAGTCCCACCGCCCCTCGCTGAACCCGGTTATTACCCTCGGGGTGCCCACCAGTTCCTGCCACCCGCCGGCCCCCCGGCTTTCCTCTACGAGCAGGATCTGGCCCCGTTACGCTACCAACGCCTGGTGCCCTCGCACAGCCGCATCGTGCGCACCCCCTCGCTCAAGGACTACGCGCCGGCAGGGGGCCGGGGGTTCTCCAAGGCGGCCGTGACCGAGGAGCTCAAGTCATGGCACCAGCGCGCCCGGCTGCGGGGTGCTCGTCCCCACTCCCTTGACCGGCAAGGGGCCTTTCGGGGACCCCGTGGTGGCACCACCAGGGATGTGCCCATCACCCGTGGACTCCTGCCACGGGCTCAGGTAGGGCACGGGGTCCGGCTGGTGCCAGGACGGGAGAGGGGACATGGGAGAGTGGGGGGCACCGTGGTGCTCATCCCCATATGGGGACGCCCTGGGTGCTGCCCTCAGGGTGACTGGGTGACATGAGTTGTCACCCTGAGGGGTGGTTCAGGGACAAGTGGTGTGGGTGGGGTCCCGTAAGGGTCCCCAGAGCAGGAGTGGGGTCCTGAGGGGGTCCATAGGGAAGAACTGGGGTCCCATGAGGGTCCTTGGGGCAGGAGTGGGATCCCATGAAGGTCCCTGGGGCAGGACCATGGTTTCAAGAGGGTCTTGGGGACAGGACCAAGGTCCCCTGGGGCAGGATCAGGACCCTCTGAGGGTCCCTCAGGGCAGGTCCGGGGTCCCAAAGGCCAGGCCTGGGGTCCCACAAGGGTCCCTGGGGCAGGAGCAGGATCCTAAGGGGGCTCTTGGGGCAGGACCAGGGTCCTGAGGGGGTCCCAGGGGGAGGATCGGGGTCCTGAGGTGATCGCGGGGGAAGAATTGGGGTCCCATGAGGTCTCTTGGGGCAAGAGTGGGGAGCTCCGAGGGTCTGCAGGACAGGACTGGTGAAGGTCCCCTGGGGCAGGACCAGGTCCCAGGGGGGTCCCTGGGGCAGGATGGGGACCCTCTGAGGGTCCCTTGGGGCCCAGAAAGGTCCTTAGGGCAGGATTGGGGTCCTGAGGAGGTCCCATGGCCAGGACCAGGGTCTTGTGAGGGTCTTGGGCACAGGACCAAGGTCCCTCCAGGTCCTTTGGGGCAGGATGGGGACCCTCTGAGGGTCCCTTGGGGCAGGTCTGGGGTCCCATGAGGGTCCCTGGGGCAGGACAGGGGTCCCATGAGCAGGACTGGGGTTCCACAAGCAGGGCCTGGGGTCCCACGAGGGTTCCTGGGGTCCCATGAGGGTCCCTGGGGCAGGACCAGGGTCCCACGAGGGTCCCTGGGGTCCCATGAGGGTCCCTGGGGCAGGACCGGGGTCCCACGAGGGTCCCTGGGGCAGGACGGGGGTCCCACAAAGGTTCCCTCCGGTCACACCCAGGGTCCCACGCGCAGGACCTGGGTTCCCACGTGGGTCCCTGGGGCAGAACCGGGGTCCCTGTGCGCATGGGGTCCCCCCCCCTCCCTGGGGGGTCCCACCGGGATGGGTGCACGCAGTAGACGGCGGCGCACGGGCGCGGCGTGCCGGGACGGCCGGCACCCACGGCACAGCCGGGGCCCCGGCCCCCCTCCCCAGCCCCCGCCCCGGGATGTGCACCCCGGGGTGCTGCCCCGGCGCGGGGAGGGGTGCCGGCACCCACGGGCTCCTTCTCCCACGCAGGCGCCCCCGATCCGCGTCCTGCGGCGCTCCCCGGACGGCGTGCCCGTGCAGGTCTACGTGCCTGAGAACGGCGAGATCGTCACACAAGTGTAAGCGTGGAGACCCCCCCCTCCCACCCCGGGGGGGGCACGGCCTGGCTGGCCCAGGGACAGTGGACGTCCTGGGGTGCGGGGGGCCGGGACGGGGGGGCTGGGGGTGGGCCCCCCCCCCCCC